AATAAATTCGAAAAAAATTTATTCTGATTTTCGACAAATAAAAGTGGGGCGTTACACATGGGTTCTCATCATGCAATTATGTAGGATAAAAAAAATATTGCAGGTATTTTGAATTTGTGTTTTTTTTTATATTATAATATAAAATAAATAATGATATTATATATAATTTAAATTACAATTTAACATATATTTTTGTTTTGCAACAGGTGAGTATCAATTGAGTTCATATCTGAATGTGACACGCCTTTTTGCTTCTAATGTTTCGGAAAGTATACATATTCGCACCAAGTAAGTGTTCGCGAACAATTGACACTTTATTTTATTTTTGAACTTTTTTATATAGATGTTGTATATATTTTGTGTATATATTTTCAATTATCATTTTGTTATTTAATTAATTTATTTAATTTTTTCATATATTTTATAAAATTGTGTACACAGTTTTCTAAGCAGCAAATGGTATAAGTCGAATATGTACGTCACCAACTCCAATATTGTGATGGAGAGCTGAATAGAAATGCATGACAGTGGGGATAGGAAGAGTGATAATTGTTGCTGTGCTGTGAAGAATTATTTTATTTCGCTTTTTATCGATTTCATTGTTGAGTTTTCAATTTTTCAAATAATTTAGTATTGTTGTTCAATATCTATGACATTTTGTTTTATTTAAGCCGATTAATGCCTACTCTATTTTATTATTGTTTTGTTATTACTTTTAAATTTAATGTAATATAAATTTCTTCATATTAATTATTCGTGGAATTTATTTTTTAAGGTAATGGTGTAGCAATTTTAATATTATTTAATATAATTAGATAATTATATAAAATGTAATTGAAGTTTTAGATTAGTACACAAATTGATAAGTACTAATAAATTTTGACTACATCTCTAATTAACTTACCCAATAAGATAAACATCACCCATATAGAAGAGGAGATAAAGATCAACTATATTCACGTGAGTATATGCCACCTTTAATTTCACCGAATTTTGTGTTACACAATAAAAATTAAAAGTCGAGATAAGTCCAAATAACGGCCGAAAAAGTTGTGAAAGTCACGGCTTTTTCATATTATTTTATATAATATTAGATAATTATATACAAATTAATTGAAATCTTAGATAAGTACACAAATTGATATTGATAACTACCAATAAATTTAGACCATATCTCTAATTAACTAATTGATAAGTACTTTAAATTATATTGAGAATAATTTAAAATTAATTATGTAAATGACGGCTATAATTTATTTTGTTCAACTTACACGAATACTATTATGTTATAGCAGATAGTATTAATAAATATTGACCACATCTCAAACTATGTAGCTTACGACTCTAATTGTTTCTTTTCAAATTATTTGCAAAATATCATTTACTTACCTAATAAGATAAACATCACCATATAAGTACGTATAATTTAAAGGGACACGATTGGTTGTGACAAAACTATCTATGTTATTGAGTGTAAGATACTCACTGGCGATCATGAGGGCGATAAGGTATTGATTCCTAAAATGGCTATAACTACTTCCGATGTCAGAATTCCTTTCAAGTTCCAGAGGCGACAGTTTCCTGTTATGGTATCGTATGCAATGACTATCAACAAGAGTCAGGGACAATCGTTATCCCATGTTGGTTTATTGCTTAAGAAGTCGGTGTTCAGTCATGGGCAATTATATGTTGCCGCCTCCCGTGTCACAAATCGAAGTGGGTTGAAGATATTAGTCTGTAATGACGATGACTTGCCACCAAATCAAACCCAAAACGTTGTGTACAAAGAAGTGTTTACTAATTTATGAAGTTTTAAATTTGTTATTTTCCATTTTATATATGTTATGTATCCACAAAGTGCATTAAATTTAATGTTGATATATAAAAAAACCCAAATAATATACTAGCGCGTGCATCGCACGGGTCAGTACTAGTAGTAATACTAATAATATAGTATAGGAATAGTAACATTAATAGTATAATAGTAATACAATAATAGTAATAATATATATTGTGTTACATATTAAGATTCATTGGTTCCTACCTAATTGTCGTTTTCTAATAAACAATAAACAATAAATAAATAATAAATCATAAATGAACACTTGTAATTCAGTTGGTTGAATTTATCGTGTTCAGTAGATGAGCCGTTGAGGAGTACTCGCACTCTATCGTGCAGTTAAGGAGTTAACAGCATTCTGTATCGTGGCGGTTAAGAAGCCACGATTTAATAATATAGTGGGATGAATAATTGAGTATTATTCCATCATTATAAATTTCATCGTTATAAATTAATACATTTGTTTATCTTCATTGCAAAACACACACAAAACAAGTCAAAAAAAAAAAGAACAATAAAAAAATCATGACATCTAGTTCTGAGGTAAATCCATTTCAATATTCACATTGAATATAATACTTTTTCGGTAAATCCATTTCAATATTCACATTGAATATAATACTTTTTCCCTTATAATTGGTTATTTTATAATTGTTTTTTTATTTGTTAATTTCAAGGGTCGTATTCATGCTTATTTAAAGAAGTTTTATATGAGCTCGCCATCTGAAGGAAGTATTATTACGATTTTATTGTAGCTCCAAACGCTTATCTAGGACTGGTTTGTTTTAATTTAAGTAAGGTAGGACTTTGTTTGTTTCCACTTATATTGAAATGGTATTAGTATTTGGTATTAGTATATCGGTTGTCCTCTATGTTTATTCTCTAATTAAATTTTTACTCCACAAATTTTAATTATTAATTATAATTATAAATCTTTATATATCTATCCACATATATATATATATATATATATATATATATATATTACTATAAG